ATTGTAATATCTGTGATTGAGTCATGTAAATAGCAATAGTTAGACTTATATACCGCTTCATAGGGCTTTCAGCCCTCTCTAAGCGGTTTACAGAGTCAGCATATTGCCCCCAACAATCCGGGTCCTCATTTTACCCACCTGGGAAGGATGGAAGGCTGAGTCAATCCTGAGCCTGGTGGGATTTGAACAGCCGAACTGCTGAACTGCAGTCAGCTGAAGTAGCCTGCAGTGCTGCATTTAACCACTGCGCCACCTCGGCTCCTTTTACTCTAATTCTTTTGGGTGTTCTCTTCTCTAATTATAAAATTTATCTCACCAATTTCGATATACTCTCCTGCTCTATTCTGTTGCAGGGGGGCTGTCCCAACCTTATGCAGCTCCAGCTGCTTCTCTTGTAGCTGAAAAAAAAAAGCTTCTCCTGGATCTATCAGGGGCTTTGCAATGCCCCTAAGATCAGCAGGACTTACTCGTCTCTATCACTGTCTCTTCAAGACGGTTTAGGTCCAAAAGGACTGTCCAGCAACAGAAATATCAACAGCAATCCTGGAGCTCCAAGATTGCATGTTGTGTTGTAGTGATGTCAGCCCCGGAAGTCCAATATTTCCCAATTTTATGACCTTTCTGACCCTAGTTGTTAAGTGAATTATTGCAGTTTTTAAGGTAGTGTAATAGTTATTAAATTAATCTAGCTTCCCCATTGACTTTGCTTATCAAAAGATTGCAAAAAATGATCACTTGACCCCGGGACATTACAACCGTCATAGCTATGAATCAGTTGCCAAGCATCTGTAGTTTGATCAGATGACCCTGGGGTTGTAAATGTAAAAAAATGGTCCTAAGTCACTATTTTCATGTAACTTTAAATGGTCACTAAGCGAACTATTGAAAGTCAAGGACTACCTGTAGTTGTCTCATGGCTAGAGGCAAGTGGTAAGGCCTTTTGGGCCACCATTGAAAATGCCTGTTTGCCAGGATCTGTTTATTTCCATCTTCCTCTCCTAGGACAGCTCATGAAATACAAGAGGATTTCATTAGTTATGATGAATAAGAGGGAGATGTTGAAGGTCAGTTTTAATTCAACCTGTCACCTGATATTACCCAGAAGTTCTAACATGTGCGTTTGTTACTACATTAAAACCTAACAATGCAGGCAGAGGGATCGCTTCACAGTTAGGGTAATATAAAACACTACATTTCTTTACCAAGAGCTTAGAGGAACACATTTATCCCTGAGCTTTTACAGAATTTGCTAAAATCTGTTTTTGGTTCCCCAGAAACCTGATTTTCCCCCTCTCCCGCAAATTAAATAACAAAAAAGAGAGGGAAGGTCAAAGTTTATAAGTTTGTGAAGAAGTTCGCTCTCCATTTTTAACACTTTCCTTTTTTTAAGCGTTTAAAAACTCCAGATGCTCTCTTAGGTCTCGCAGGGCATTAGGGAAAAAAGACTTAGGAATAACTCTGTATAATATAGCCTAGTTGTGGTGAAACATTAACCCACTTTCGCTTCAAGGCGTTAGCCGCTCCACGCCATTCCGAGAGCAACGTGTTTCCCCTTATCGTGGCCATCTCAATGGCCACTTCCCTCAATTGCCTTGTCACGCAGCTCTTAAAGAGAGAAAGGCGTAAAGCTTATTGGTCTGCCGACAGGATAGCAGCCCTTCCCCTCCCTAGCCTACGAATCCAAAGTCCCCGGATAACTCAAGAGCTGGCTAGCGGGATTTCTAAAGGGAGGCGGGAAGAGCTTCATCCTTTTCGCAGCGACCGACGCGCGGGATCCCTTCGCCCCTCAAGCATCCCTCCCGGGCAAGAGCTAGAAACGAAAGCGCGCCCAGGAACTTCAAAACCCGGGCAGAGAGGGCGCGCGAGCCCAGTCCTCCTCGCGCTTCCTTTGTGTCCCAGGCGGCTGCGGCTGACCACCGCCGGCTGCGGAGCTTTCCTTGCCCCTCCCGCTCCGACCAGCCCGCCCTGGCTCCCCTCCCGCCCACCGGCTTCCCCTGCCCTGGCGGAGGGAGAACGTGTTCGCCTCTGGGCCGTCAAGATGGCGGCATCGGTGGGGTCCGGCGGCCCCGGGGAGCCCGACCTGGGGGCGAGTGGGGAGCCCCGCGCTCTCTCCCCGGAGGAGATCGCCCGCCGGCTGCAGAGCACAAGGCGGGAACTGAGTAACAGGCGCAAGATACTGCTGAGGAACCTGCCCGCCGAAAGCAGCAGCCAGGTGGGTGGAGAAAAAGCAGAAGCCGCGGCGGGGCAGAGCAAGGCGCGGAGCCCCGGCAGTGCGGGAGAGGCGGGGGGGCCACACCGGGAGTCGGAGGGGTGGCGGGAACCGCGACGGAGATCTCGGGGAACAACTTGGTGTCCCCCCAGAACTACAATTGCACTACCATTCCCTCAAGTTTCCACTGTGATGTTTGGGAATTATGACCGATAGTTCATAATTCATCCAGATCGTCCCAGTATTGAAAAAGAAACCTTGAGCACTTTCCATACTGAGTCGGGAAAGGGAGAGTTTTCTATGGGGAGAGACGACATTCAGACTCTCCCAGGTTAGGGGAGAGACGACATTCAGACTCTCCCAGGTTAGCGGAACCGGTTCATTGATCCCTGTTAAACCCGGCTAGTCAGTGGGGCAAGTGTCCCTCACAGAAGAGTCGTAGATGCCCAAGTTCCTGCAAGGAAAGGAGGAAACCTTTGTCCTAAAGGTGAATTTTTTCAAGAGGCAACTGGACTTTCTTGTTTTTCTTGGAAGACGTTTGGCTTCTCGTGCAAGAAGCTTCTTCAGCTCGGACTGGATGGGGGCGGGAGTTGAAGCTGAAGAAGCTTCTTGGATGAGAAGCAAAACATCTTCCAAGAAAAACCAGAAAGTCCAGCTGACTCTTGAAAAAAAAAGCACCTTATCCAGGACACCCCCATAGACATTGAAGAAGACCTTGAATCTCTGGAAGAAAAGATCAGGGGAGATTAAGATAGCAGTGTGAATAGGACTCATGAGAACAGTTAGGAAAAGAGCTAACCCTGGAAGTCATAGATAGGGCAAAGTAGTCCTGTAGGCAGGCTGCACTTCATAGTTCTTTGTAACAGAACTGTGGTGTGCCAAAGAAACTGTCTGCTTTAGTGGCAGCAAAATGTACAAAGCTCTTTCCTGCTCTCTCTGTAACTATAGAATTCTCTGGCAATAGAAGAGCAAGCGTGAAGCATTATTACTGTGGCTGATGGCATAGCCAGCCCTGTGTTCAGGCTGGATTTGGCATTTTTATTGCTCTCAACTCCTTCCCAAGGATAGGCAGATGTTGTTGTTTGGTAGCATTAAAGCTATCCTTGCAGGATGTAAGGTGTTCCAAATAGAGTTGCCATTTTTCTTTTTTAAAATAATAATAATTTCTGTGTTTGGAGGCTTATACTGTATATTTTGTTGAATAAATCATACAGGAGTCCCACTCCCTTTAGATTGAGACAGATATCCCATAAATGGAAGCGCAGTCAGGATTCATGACTGCTAGAGTAGTAAAAAAAAAAAGATGCAAAAGGAAATACTTCTGTTCTCTTGTCTGGATGTAACTTATATCTGAACTTCATCTTATCGAGTCTTTGGAAATACATCTTGCATGTACTCCTTCTCTCCAAATAAAGCATTATTTATGCTGTCTGAGACCATCTCTTTTTTTCTAATTCACATTAGAGATTCAAACTCTCAAGACTTCTATTTATTTTATTTTTCATGAGTGAATTTATAGACTTCTTATAACTTCCCATTGCAAACATTGATCAAGTTTCTAGCTCCTAAATGTCATTTTGCTTCTATGTGATTGTAAAATTTATTGGTAATAGAAAAATATTCGAACCTATGGGGCCTAGCTGTGTAAAAGAATTTCAGACTTGACAGGTGCTATCAGATTACAATTTGAAATTTTAACTTTCTTCTAAGTCTGTTATAGATAAAAATTAAGCGTGCAGAGAATCTTGGCACTAATGCCTTATTTGTCTTTATAAAGGTAATTGAATTACCAATGAACAAACATTTTGCTATTTTTGTGTATCTAAACATATGTTTGTAATTGGTGGTTCATCTTCTCAGATGTAAAAAAAATATTTGCCTTATGTTTAGAGAAGATTCATCATCTCCATGAGCAGTTGGAGCAAATCTGTTTTGTTTTTGTTTTTAAAAATAGTCTGTGTAGGTTGTACTAAGGATGTTAATCCACAACATTTTCCTTCGCAATATGAAGTGGTTGCATAGTTAAAACCTTGAGTGGTATTTAATTTTGCAAACTTTTATCCTATATAGCAAATGGCTTTTAAAAATCTCTTGTTTTAGAAAGGATTGTGAGAAGTTTAAAAAACCTAAGCCTGAAGTGTGGAAATAGTTGTATAGGATATCCAGGATAAAAGTGAAGAAAAAATTCTGGTTTTAATAAATAAGATGTATCCTGAAGGTTAATTAAGACAAAAATTGCAGTTAATTGTTCACTTTTTCCAGACCTTATGGTTCTATTTTTTTACGTAGCACTGTCTTTCATTGTGAAGGACAATAAAGTATTTTGCCTAGTATTTTACACAGTACTATATTTTATTGTGATATTGCAAGCACCTAGGATGGAGAGTGTGGATATAAGGTTTTATATCTTTTTCCATTAAGTACCAGTGGAGTATATCTGTAGAGATATGTTCAACATAAGAAATATTTCCAATGACTTTCATTTATTGTGAACACTAATTCAATTAGCTTTTTTTGCCTGACTTTTTAATATTGGTAAAATAATTATAAAAATATCTTATTTGAATTTTAAAATTTTCATTAAAATTTTATTTCACAATAAACTGTTCTATATTCCCTCATGTGTTGATCATTATAGGTTAAATATTATTTAGTAAAATATAGATGCCAATGCTACTAAAATTGGTCAATTAGGTTTAGAAGACTTTGAAAAAAACTTCATTTTTAGCTCTACACAGAATGACAATATTGTACGTTCTGAAGAGGAAGCACACAGTTCCCTGCTGATCTCAGGTGCTTAGGCTCATGAAACAAACTGGAACATCTAAATTTCACTTTAAAGTTTTATGTTTTCTGCTTTATCACTGCTGACACTTATAGGAAAACAATTTCAAAATACTACCTCAGAAATGGGAACCAATAGAAGAGTTAGCCTGGCAGGATGTTAAACATACTGCATAGAAATAATAATGTTTTTTTTTTAACCCTAAATTTTAAGCCTCCGATAAAACTTTGGGAAAAAGCTGGGAAACTTTGAGCATATAACTGTCTCACCTAACCCATCTTATAGGATGATTGTCATGGGGAAATGGAGGCAGGGGGGGTATTAAGTATGTTCCCTTCTTTGAACTAATCAGGTTTTTTTAAGTAGACTTAAAATTAAGAGCAGCAAAACAAACTATGATGTTTTGTCTGTATAAAAAACCCTAGCCACTATTGATATGACCCAAAGTACTCTCTGCTTCCTCTCAAAGCCCAAATAATCAGATGATAATAATAGTGTAAAATCAACACATTTTTAGAATAATCCCTTGGAAAGAGGAGGAAAAAGATTCCACATCCAAAGAATCTTTTTAGGATCACTGCTTTCCAGATCACTGCTTGAGAGGGGAGGCAGTGAACCCACATTTCTTTCAATAATCCTCTTTAAAAGCCTTGTCTTCCTGCTGCTAATGGTAGGGAGAAGACAGAAATCTGGAGCACAGCTGATGGAAAGGGAAAGGATGTGGCTGAATCTCTGGGGCCCATGGCAAACACCTGTTGCAGCCACTGGTTGAAGCAGAATTTCATCATTGACTGGAGCTACTTAGTAGCTGTTTTAAAATATAATTTTACACAACAATTTTCCTGTGAAATGGGTTTTAGATTGGAAATTGTAAAAAGAGAAGAGTTATTTGCCAGATGTTTGCCTTTGTATATTATCTGTGAGGTCTGAAAACACTCATATGGCACTGTAGTGTATTATTTATCAGGATTGTTTTCCTGAATATGCATTGAAACATTGACTAGAAATAAGAACAAATAATTCACAGCAAACTAAATCTTGCACTATTACTACA